TATTTGTATTCAGAATGACGTAAACCTGACCAGTCTATTCTGACTGAAGTGTGTACATCAACATGTTCTATTCAGATTGAGCTATTAGCTATTAGTCAGATTATCAATGCTGCATGTAAATATGGCTACTGATGTTGAGGTCTGGGCTTTGAGGTCATCAGTCCAGTGTTCAGAGAACACCAGCCCAGCAGCTTCTTTGTTTGATTTGTAAATTTTCTTCTTTTGAGTCTATTTTCTTTTCTTAGTTCATTGACAGCTACACATCCTTTAAGACCCATAGCGTTGTGCTGCAGTTTCTCTAGATCTTTTAGTAACTTTTTGTTGATTCCAGCTTTGGAAATGTTTATTTTTGCTCTAATCTTACATTTGACTTTCCTCTTATGCTACAACAAATACTCACATGTCTACAAAAAGTCATACAACTTATTATTAAACGTGTACACTGAGGTGTGTACAGACAGAAAGTCTAATAGACAAAGTTAATATATCAAACACAAAAAAAGCAAAAGTGGTTGAAGTGAAACAGTCAAATCTTAAACAAACAAGTTTTACAGACTGCAAATAGACACTGAGGGAATAAACTGATATTAAACTGAGATGCTGCTGCTGCCTATATGAGCTTTCAGAGAGCTCAGTGCTGTGCACCAACACTGATGGAATAAATATTCCACAACAAAGAATATTGCAGTAAAGTTTATTCGCTGTTTTCACATAAGACATTCAGAGTTTTCATTACTCACATTGAACACAATGACTGCTGTTGGACTTATGACTGAAACCTTCAAATGCTAAACCACAATATTTCTTTACCCTGTTGCCAAATGCAATTAATTATAGTTTCATTTTACCTTTCTGTCCCTGTGTAGAATCTAAAAAAGTGCTATCAGTGTCAAAATATTTATTATAACATATACTGTGCGGTGTTAAGGAATACTAAGTCACTGCATAGAGTAAAGTAGAATGGTTGTGACCACCTGTTAGGTCTCCTGGCTCATTTGTGTGCTCAACTAGCCTGCTTTGGGTAGGCAAAATAAGAAAATGCAAACCTGTGCCATCACTGTTAATGGAGCATCATTCATCTTATGTCTCTTCACACGACATCATGTGTATTTGAGTCATTATAACCATAACTTTTTCATAGGCTTTTCATTTATGTGAAAATTAATTAATTGGCATTCAAATCCTGATCTAGAACCAAGACCAATATGCAATATGATGATTTTAAATTAAGTACTAGCATCGCTAGCTGTCACTGGAGACTACATAAGGGAGACTTCAGGTAATATCGCAATAAACACATAATCCAGACACAATGTCTACCAGAAAGGAAAGGGGGAAAAAACAACCCTTTCTTTTTTCTCTTATCAAGTACGTATTTTTGGTATCACCCCAATAGATTTCAGCCTGACTGAATCAGTATAAAGGAGAAAAAGTGACCGATTCTAATGAGAACATGGCCAATTGCATTCCTTAAACGCCTCCAGCCACAGACAACACACAGCGTTTAGACTTTTTTTTCCTTAATTGTTCTTACAGAAACTTTGTTATTTCAGATGTTTCATGACCAAATCTTACAACTCTTGAACATTAGGGCTTCATACTTGCTGATTAAAACCACAGTTGAGTTTTCTTAACTCTTGTGAATAAAGACTTTGAAAATTGAATGAATTTTGAACCATAATGAACAAAAAACAATCTGATCTCTCTTTCTTTCTATCTTTCTAATCTCTTTCTCTCTCTCTATTCTCCAGGGCATGTAAGATCAAAAATACTGGGACTATTTACAGAGGGGTTGGATGTCATGGCAACAGAAGGGTTTGGTTTGAAACTGAGATGCAATGACAAGGAAAAGCGTGGCAAGACATGTTCTAATTCCGAGCCTTGGGTAAACCCTTAAACTCACTGCCCTGCTTAGCGTCCAATCTGAGCATCTGTTAATAAAAAGAATGGCCATAAAGTGGGGCTAACTAAAATAAGGAGAAGTATCAATCTGAGACAATCTTAAGTGCAATATAGCATACTAAGTAAGGAATACTGTATCAATAAAAAGATCCAACAGATTAAACACACATCTGAACTACTTCTGATTAAGTGGTTACTACCAAAAGTAAGACTTTACACTAATCATTGTACTGGATTCAAAATCATATGGAAAACACTTTTGTTCTTTTCACATTTACTGAAATGAAATGAGCTCTGAACTGACTATCTGTCTGTACTACAGGCAGTTACTGCTGACTGCTGAAGATGTTGAAAATCACAATTTGATTCAACAATTGCAAAGTCTTATTTTTGTGCATAACCATTATGACTTGAATAACTTCTTTTCATATCTTCTTAACACAACATAGATTTCAGTGTATTTCCCATGGTCTATGTATCACTCCTAATACTGTGACATTAGTATTTGATCATGACTAAGGGTGCAGCAGTGTAACAATTTCAATAGAAAAACTGAATGTTCAAAACAGCATACTGAAATTTAAACCTGCAACCCCATAAGCCTCTCTGTCTTCCAAGAGTCCATCATTTGTCATTTTTTATAGACACCACTATCAGTGCTAGGCACCTGGGTGTACCTTATCCACTATTATTTTATTTTTATTTTTTTCTGAATTTGCCTATAAACTCAAGGGTTTGTGATTTTTGGGGCTTATTTTGTTGGAGGTCTTGCACTATATGCATTCAGAAAACTCAGGAAGTTGTACTCAGAAACCAACACAAACCAATTTGTGTCACATACACTTAGAGATCTGTGTAATCAAGACATTTTAAGAGGGATGGATTATAGATTGGGCTAGTAGGCCCATTGCCCATAGGCCTCTGACTGCCACAGGCCTTGGAGGGCCTTTGGGGGCTCAGTTACTTGCAACAATCCACTATATCCACTAAATAAATAAAATAAATGAAGAAATATTATCTGTTCTCTGGCACATAAAGTTTTATATTGTCATTGACTTGTGAGATATTATTGTTGCTATTCAAATCTTTAAAATTATACATATTGCTGTTATTTAAAATCTTTTTTAGTGTTTTATTGCAGTGTTCATGCTTACACCTCAGTATGTGTAGGACTGTTCCTGCTGCATTATGACTTAGTTTGGCTTAAAATAAAAAGAGTAGAAACCTGATTCAAGTTTGTCTTTAAACATACAAATCACAAAAACCACAAATAATAACAATGTCGTCATACAATACTGCACATTAGTAGGGCTAATTTTGCTTATTTTCAAAACAATTTAATTCTTAAAGAAAAAAAAACGTGAATTTCACATGTAAATAAACACGTGGGGTTTCTGTAAAAAGGTATTTGCATTTGAAAAATATGTAATCACTTGTAAACACACTTGTATACAAATATGTGACTCTTTTCTAAGGGAAATCTCACTTTACAGATCTTGTTTTGTTACTATAAATTCATTAATTTATGTGTTATTGTTTGAGTTCAGGGGGCCTCAAAAGTTGGTTATGACCAGAGGCCTCATAGTCCATCTCTATTTTTTAGTATGTTAAATGCTGAAAATCGAATCACATCTGAAAATGTGTATCGTTGCACCCCTAATCATGACTATGAAATATTCAGGACACACTGAAAAGCCATTTGATCAGACACTATGTCCTTCAATTTCCTTCATATTTGTTGGCATGAGAAGATGATCTTCTAGGAATTCTCTTCAGAACCCGGGCCCCCATTATCTTAAATTGATTTTCAATAGAAGACAGCAGCCTAGCAGTCTATACTGTCTTAATAGCTTCACTTACAGCACAAATGAATTGGACTTACGGCTTTTAGAAGCTTGAGTGCTTCACATGTTGCTATGCGAATGGTGTACATAGTAGAAGCAAACATGGTTAGTTAATAAGCAATAGGTACATATGTGTTCTCTCTCTGAGGTCTGTAAACGTGAGCTGCGTCTTCAAACGTGATTATGCATACATGCACATTCAAACATATTTAGTTACTACTGTCTCTGTATCTCACATCTTATCAAGAGCCAAAGAACCAGTGCCTCTGGTGTTTTCATGATAAGCCGTAATTAAGCGTGGCGATTTGAGATTTGTCAAAGTCAGCCTCTGAGCACACAGCGGCATGGGTCTCTGTGGAGCGTCTTCGCAGCCGTGCAACTGATTACAACCTCCACACGTTGCGAATAAACACAGACGCCGTACAGAAGTGTTTGATTAGAAACAAGATGGACTGGTAGCCACCGTGAGACTGGCAGAGCTGCGCAGGAAGTGCAAAACAAACAGCAAAATGGTTGAGTGCCGTATCCTTCTCCATGTAAGCAGAATCCATCACCACAGACTCTACGACCCGATGTCTATTGATCCCTTCAGGGAGAGGATGTGTAGCATGCTAAACGTGCACACAGAGTTCTGACATTTCACAGAGAGAACACAAGCCGTATGAAAATAACAAGGGAGTAACCATGTTGCCCAACCTGTGATTCTACTATGCACATCAGTCATGCTGCCAATGTCAGATACATCAAGTAGCATCTGATATCCTGCCAGTGTACATACAACTGTTTATGTAAGTATCTGCTTACAAGCAGCATCAGAGAAGCTTGCATACAATATACATGAGATATATGTTATAATTGTACTGACTGCTCCCTTATAATAATCAGTATTAAGCACATGGCAATTATAGGCCCCCTATTGGTCTGTCTGATTTCAGCATCACAGTATAGAGTGCAGCACGACAGACAGAAAAAGAGAAAGTGAGAGAGCCATATGGTGACAGGCTTGTCAGTTACCAGTATGTCCTGTTAGCACAGACTGAGACAAGGGAGAGAAAGCAAGAGAGAGAGAGATGTGCTTAAAAGTAGGTCTCATATTGGGTCTCATAAGGGTCTGCTCATTGCATTTCATTGAAATGTTAACATTAATCTCATGCACGCTGTTTGCAGCCCTCTTTCCTGTAACATTAAAGATTTACTTAGCCGGATTAGTGAAATAAAAAAACAATGACAAGAATAAAGAACATCCCATCGTACCTCCGTTCAGCCAGGTGATGATAATGGTACCATGAGGTTCTCCAATGGTCAGAGCACTGGCGGATCCTGTCGCTGGCAGATAAACATGAGCACAAAGCTACAGGCAGAGGTGCACACGCAGCACTGGAGCCTTTTCACTCAGAGGCAGCACAACATCTCTCCAGCATGAATTAATTAAACTCTCCTCTCCTCTCGTGATTATCCTCCTGTAGGTTGCGCGGCTCTCTCCGTCAGCTGCAGCGGCGTGTAGAAACGTCCCTGCACTTTCTTTTCTGACAGCCTGTTTACACAGAGCCGACCGCGCTCTCGCTCTCTCTTTCTCTCTCTCTCTCTCTCTCTCTCTCTCTCTCTCTCACACGCACACACACTCCCCCCCTCCGCCACCACCATCGACAGTGCAATATCAGAGCGCTTCTAATAGGGACAGCCCTCCCCTTATGAACCACCCCAAAAAGCTCAGCCCATGCCTCACTGCTTCTCTCTCTCACTCAGCTTTCAATCCTTTTCACCACAGCCTCACTATTTTAAACACTTGCAAATGACTGTCTGCACATTTGCCTGCAATAATCTGCGAGAGAAATTGAAAAATGAGAAGGTGCGATGAATCCCATGTATAAGATCCTGACAACTGATATCAGTTATTGACTGATTTGTCTTTGCATACAGAACTGTCATTTGTTAGTGCTGTGCATTAAATGGCTATTAAGTACAAGTCATTCATTTTTAGCGGCAGGAAAAAAGGAGAAAACATACATGCAACAGGAAATTACAAATAAGCCTCAACAACTAAATATGATCTCATTTTGCCTGTCGACGCTTCGCCTTTATTACAGCTTCCATTCTTTTTGGGAGACCTGCTTTCTGTTTTTCAAAGAAATCTGCAGATATATTTTTCAAACCCCTTAAAGTCTTGGAAGTCTTGGAAGTTGGTTGCATTTTCTCAAGATCCAAATAATCCCAATTATAAAATTAGACTCAGGTTTCCTTTTCTCAGTAACACCTTTGTGACAGCTACACATCCTTTCAGACCCACATCACTTCTCACAATGGAAGCATGGACAGAAATACAGTGGATATTTTTCAGATCTGGTTGATTGTCTCTCAAAGATGAAAGCCATACTGTTTATCTAAAGTACTATTTATTTGATGGTGGCAATTTATTGCGCTAACCGGTCTTGTACAGTTGTCCTGTACAGGAGTCCTATTTTCTCTACATCTTTTTTTCACTAATTTTCCTTTGACTTGGGAAGTAAATAAATCACTAGGACCAAAGTAATTCAACAAGACAAAGAGGTGGGACAGCATCGTGGTCTTCTGATCATGTAATGCTTTAACAGTATGTGTCATGACTTTGTTTTCAGTAACGGTCCGCTGCTCCAACAACATAGCTTCAGTTTCTGAACAATGCTCCGCTGTTAATGGAGCAACTGCAAAAAGATAACACCTGACTTTCTTTTTTCTCTAACAGCACCAGCTCAATAACTGGCATAACAATTACTGTGTATAATATGGCTGGTGTCACTCAACACAGACCATACGTTTGTGAAAAAAACAGGAGCTTGATGTAATAATATATGATGCGCTGACATTGACTGAAAAATGAAAATACTTTGAACACACAGAGGAAAACGTATGGATTTTGACAGTGTTACTAATAATAACAACAGATCCCCTCACGATGGAACAAAGGAATGTCCGAGTTAAATAAAACTTCCAAATGATTGCTTTCTGCAAATGTCAGACGTCATGATTTAACCTTCACTCAAAGGTCAGAGAAGTGAATAAGGCCTGCACTTATCAACTACATTTCACTCCGTTATAGTGGGGGTTGAGCTAAGCCTGAACGCCAGTGCTCTATTGCTTAATTCGTGAAGCAGACAAAGGGACAAAAATAGCCCAGAAGTGCTCCTCCCCTACTTCTATGATCAAAAGCAGACTGTTTTTCCTACTCTGGCTTACACTTGCTTGTTTCACTTACGCTTACACTTACATTTTTTTCCATTTTTATCCTTTCATTTTTGGCAAAAAGTGCAGTTACAAATCTGCTCTAAGAGGTTTTTTTTATTTCTTTTTTACATAAGAGGTTTAAGTCAGAGGGCCTGAGCTGACTTCAGAGCAAATGACATATTTGCAGGGCACTGTGTGAAAAAATATTCTCCCAGTCTCTCAGCACCACAACAACGTTTTGTCACTGTTGTATGTTACACGACTTTAAAAAAAAATGCCATCTGCCCTTTACAGTACGTTAAGATTTCATGAAAAATAGAGCAATGGAAATGCTCCAAAATGGTTTGGGGGAAAAACTTCCATTGGCTTCCATTCAAAATTAACAAAGTTTTTTTTTTTGAGAGAGAGACAAAGTTTTGTCAGGACAGTGATGGTATAATACTATAATTACAGATATGATGTCCAGAAGGTAATACAAAATGTGTCAAACCTGTCAGTTCGTGGCATGTATTTTAAACATACAAAAGTTGCATGTATAAGAGTTTACGTAGAGTTTGAGCACAATAGCTGTCCGCTTGTGCCATGTTCCTTTGTAATTTTGTTCATGTAAAAAGTTCTGTACCGGCTCCGCCTGGTGAAAATGTGGGTGTATTTAGCGTATGAGGTGCAGGAAATCAGAGAACTAAGACAGTTTGAATGTGGAACGTCACAAGTAGAAGCACTCAAAATTTAACACACAGCACAGTGAATCATCCTTCACCCATGCTGGGGCAAGCACCAACTACCAATGACGTGACAACAAAAGAACAATGTACTCAAATATCATTATGAAAACAAAAACATGAAGTCATGCCGATGGCTAAGATAAACAGATGGTGTGTGGTTAAAATGGCTAAACAAACTACTACAGAACTCCCATTAACACTGATAAAGAAACACCTTCAGGTTCATGGGCCCACATCTCGCTTTGTCTTTCCCCACCCCTCTCTCTCTCTCTCTCTCTCTCTTTCTCTCTCTCTCTCTCTCTCTCTCTCTCTTTCTCGCTATGTCTCTTTCTCTCAGGGAATTTCCCCTCTGCTGTGAGAGTAGAGACACTGCCTCATGCCAACAGAGCATGTGCTTTCACATCCTGTCCTCATCTTATTTTCATTTCTCTCCTCTCTGATGAGTGTAAAGAGTCAGTACTCTGTAAGCCAACATTATGAATTATGAATGAATGACCAAACTGACGATCCACCTGTGTTGTACTACCTACTGTGCTTAAAACGGAATTGTTCAGAAATGAGAGGGCCTTATTCATCAAACTTACTCTATATCCAGAGTTGAGTCAAGTACTACTTATGGAAGAGCAAGGGTAATCACAGAAATAATGACCTAAATTTAGAATAAATCGAGCATTCATAAACTGTCCTATTTAGTTATTCTCTTAACTGATGCGAGATTATCTGGCCTGAAGAACACTCTTATGACTGTTGTTCAATCTGTTCTGTGTTGAAAATAACATGGGAGGCTACAGACCATTGACCTATTATTTTAAGAACGTAATAACCCTCACACTCATGTTTTCATGACAAGCTTCGGAATTTTAAAGGCAAAGAATCTATATGTATTAGAGTAAGGGTTGCATGACAAATTGTATTTTTATTGTTATTGTGATATGTGTTTCCATGATAAATACATTTGTGCACAGCAAAAAACACTCTATTCTCAAATACTGTAAAAATGCTTAAAATGTCATGACTATTTTCACTTTTAATGATGTGTTTTAAAAAACTGTATGATAGAAAGTATAAAGTAGTAATGGCTACGGTCACAACAAACCTGCATAATCATAAGGAGCTTTTTAAGGAATTATATACATATTTATGTTTTTTTAGGCCTATATTGAAAAAAAAAATCATATTTAGTTAGTAAATCATATTTTAGTTACCTGACTGCAAACATGACTAGAAAAAGGTGTTCAGGGAATCCTGACTGGTTTTAGACTGACACACCTTATGAAACTCACGTTTCATAGACTAAAAATTCTCCACAATGCTACACATCCATCATTAGCAGTTCAAACAGTTTTTGAGCCTTCATAAGAGCAGTGCTTATCTCACATCCAGTCAAACACTGCATTTTATGTCCATATTATGCGGCCCTAATTACAGTGTATGGAAGATTTGGGCAGAACTGTGTGCAGATGTAGGCTTAGACACGGTTATCAAAAAGGGCTATAATATTGTGCCAAAAATGAAATGTAGTGATTAGTGATCAAAATGTTTTGGGATGTGATGACCTCACCATAAAACTACAGGTGGCAGTGAGCAAAAAGACAATGAACAAACGTCCCCTCCTGGACCTCTCCTATCTTCTAGATGTGCATAGCTGGGAATGGGATAAGGGAATCATGGTCCAAGCCCTACATCCAATTCCTTCAGGGAGTTAGAGTTAACATTTACAGATTACCCACCACAATGTTCTCTGAAAGCAGGGCATACCCTTGCTAAAAGAACAGGGCTCTGCCCATAAACCATTGTTCCTGGGTGAATTTTACCACTTTTTTGTGTGCCTTTCCACATGGCCTATCATACAATTAGAATACAGTCATATGTTAACTTAATTTTGCAAAAGGGTTATGAAAGGAGAGTTTTTGAGGTTTAGGTAGGAACTCATTCTTCCTGCACCGTAGTCCATAGGTTTGAATTATATTTTGTTTAACCTTGTTTAACCTTTGTGGTTATTACGTTGTTTAATCTTGTGTAATTCTCTTGTAACTGTTTGGGCGTTTCATTCTTGGCTAAATAATACATTTGGTCAAAGGTTCAGCTCTACATTTTCTTGAATGTTAACTGTTGTTAGTGCGTCGGCTGTAGTTTCAGATATTGCTACTGTCAGTCCTCTGTGTAATTACCACTATAACTGTTTAAGTTTCCTATGTTAAAGCCCTAACTCTTAGGCCTTCTTTAATTGAATGGCAAACTACTGAGCAGTTTGCCTTTAATGGTGATAATCTTCTGTATGGCTGGTCTGAGTTAACAAAAGCTACTTTTAAAGCACACTTTGTTTTATTTAATTTAATTATTCAAACATTTCTGATATGATATTTTATCTTTTTGCAGTCAGATTACGACACATTTCCTCAAACATTTAACCTTCACCAGTACTGGTAGGCTGTTTTTTGGGCCAGGCCAAAGGGGGAGAGAAACCAAAAAACCCCACAGGAAGCCCTTTAGGTGCTATACAAAACCATTTAAAACGTTCTTTACGTGGTCCCGAGCAGCCCAACTGTCTAAGTATTGGCCCTATCGTTATAATCGGCCTTGCTCTGTGGGTGGGTAGGATGGCCCTCCTTCTCCCCTCATCACTCAGCGCTAGGGCTGCAACTAACAAACATTTTTATTGTCGAATAATCTGTCCATTGCTTTTTCGATTAAT